AATTGGTATATTAAAGAAGCAAGGAGTATTTTCTGTCTAGCTAAAGTAATCCTTGTTTCTATCGATTGTTTCCAAAAGAGCAGGTTGATGCCTTCATCATTTTTAATAGAAATTTATTGTTTTATAATTATTAGCTCGAGGACGAAATTATTAATTAGGATTGTCTTGTAATAACAATGAATCACAGCTTGTTCCTTGAGGTCATTGTCCTGATAAATGAGTATCCCACGCTGATAATGGATTACACAATATTTGAGACTCAGCAGCAGGTGGTTTTTAACAGACTGCTCCAGTAATAAAAATGCTTATTTTCCTTTTTTCTTGGAAACATAATTTTTGTTTTTTGTTAATTATTTAGAAGATTATTAATTAGTCATTGAACTATTAAATTACAACTTTATTAAAAGTTTCATTAGCAAAATAATTTCTCAAAGATAATTTGGGCAATTAGCAATTATTGTTTACATGCTTTAATAAAGACAACTTAAAAACAAATTATCCTGAATAGTCATAAATAGAAGTACCTATCTATACAAAATTCAAATGTTACATAACTTGTGAGTTTATACACCTATGATGTAATCTGTTGCTCACCTCTATCATTAGCCCATTTCTCACAGTTTTAGGTTGTTAATTTATTATACAATTTTAAATGACTTTATAAAGATACCTACTATTCTAATATATTTGTTATTTTAAATGACTTTGATATTTCAAAAAGTTCCAAAAGTAATTGAAACATTGTCTGATATCATATTTTTATTGGATGTTACTTCTGAAGAAAACGAGGTGTTGATAATACTAACTGCACTTACGAAAACAATGCAGTTCATTCTTCTGAATGACATACCTACATAATTAATTTAAAAGAGTAGATATTTCCGTAAACAGAGTTAAAGAAAATAGGAACATATACATGTAAATAGATGTAAAGCTTATGCATAATTAATAAGGAGTTCTCTATTACTTATGGATAAAATAAACATTATAAACCTTGATATATATGCTCGTCTCTTTACGAAAAAAAGGCAGGTTTGTGCTGTTAACTGAAACTCCCACTATGTTGAACAGAACAGGTTTCTTATACCTACTGTTGGGAATATCTCGTTCCCTCATCCTATAGGTCTCTTCGTCCATGTAGGTTTGATTTATAGGTACTTATAATAATTATATCTGTCGTTCGTTGGACAATATTTTAAATTTACATAAATAAAATACATGGGAAATTACAAGGTCTGTTCGTAGAAGTAAAAGACAACACGAAGGNAAAATGCTTTACTCAGGACTCAAGTGATAGCACTAAGAGAAGAAGCTGCCTTTTTACGTCATTTACTAATGGAAGAGAAGAATAAATAATTTGGAAAGGAAAGACAATTTTAAATTTAAATGTACAAAGTATGTTTACTTATATTCATATTAGGTATTCTTGTTATTAATAATATCTGAATAGGTATATCTATACATAAACTTTAAATGCTATTATCACTAGGAAATATTGTATTTTTACTTTTAGCGCGTAACTTTTAAATAGTTTTGTAATTTCCCAAGTTATGCTACGCTTTAGTCATTCCGAAATTCTAACCTCTATTATAAACGTCAGTTTTAATGGTTATGTTATTTGAAAGATTTGAATTTTCATAACAAAAATGTATAAAACTTATGTGTTTAATAGCGTAATTCGGTTCTAGATTTAGTTTTTTGATAATATAATGTAGTAGCAATCGTAAAGAACTATTTGTGATAAGTTTAAAGTACTTATTAAATGTTGTAATTAAGTTTGTGGAAGTCATGTCCTTAGTAGAAAAGGAAATTTGTGAATTAGGACAGAAAAAGCAGTTTAAAGATCTTCAAATTTACGTTGATGAACTTGATGAAGATGTGGTAAGTTCCTAATTATCCATGAATAATATTGATAATCTTCTTCAATTTTTTTTAACTTCAGCTTAAAGAAACCATTAAAAATCGGTTGTACAGCTCAAATTTTCCTCTATTTTGGGACTATTTGCTTCAGTCTTTCACATACTCGTCCGAATCACATAGGAAACGTATCGAAATCATATTGATAGCTTTAAAAGAGTTGGAACAAAACTATTCATCCACTTCTATAAGTTCTCAACTGGTGACTCGTATCTGTACAGAATTACCAAAATTTAAATCAGAAGATCTGATGAAATTATGCCAGTTTTGCATAGAATGTATTCAAAAAGGGACTGCCACAGATTTGAGGTAGTTTAAAATCAGTTTAGCAATTCAGTTTTCACTCTTCTATTTATTACAGTTGGAAAGACTTATTGCCTGAAGTTCTAAATGTTTTATCAGAAAGAAATCGTGTTGACTATAATCATGCAGAAATTACTGGTTCAGAATACAAAACCCAATTAATTACTTCCCTGTGTATGATTCATTGGTCTCCAGAAATCATTACAAGTTTAACTTCAATGTTCATGTAAGACTCGTTTACTTTTATAATATCCCAGACTTGAAACAACCAATTTGTATTGTAGCAATCTACCCCTTACAAAAGATGAATACAGCCAAGTTGTCAACAAACTTGGTGAATTCATGGAGAAACTGACATGTCAAGAACTACCAGCTTTTGTATACCAGTTGCTCAAACTTTGTCGAAACCAAAATGGCAGATCAATTTTTTTAAGACTGCAGAATTACTTCAGCAGAAGGGTTTATTCAAAAGTTACTTCTAACGTTGACAGCAACTCTGAAAGGAGCAGTATGGACATAATTGGTACTTGTTTGAAGTTATTCCTTCATTGCTTAGACACAAAATTAGAAACTTTTGTTTACAGGGGATGCTGTAGATCAGGAGGCAATAGAAGTAGAAAGTACTGTTTTGTATCATATTTATCAGTGTGCAACTTATGGATACGGCACTATCTCTAACTACATTTCTTCTCTCAAAAAAATGATTAAATCTCCGGAATTTGTTCTTCATCCTTTTCAAATTTCTGTGTTGATGACCATATCCTGCGTTTCAACATTCCAGGATACCGTTTGTGAAATTGTACGTTGCTGTATAACAAAGCATTTCCAAGAAGAAATGCGAAAGACCAATTCCTGCTGGATCAGGGAAATGGTGCCAAAAGTTTGCAAAATAGAAGAGGTTTTGTCACAAGTTATAGACATTAGGTAGCTGTCTTTTTTTTTTTCTTAATTTAGAAACAATTACGTATTTGTGGATTAAACAACCTTATAATGTTAATCTTCTTACAGTTTGTTAGAAAGAGAGTTGGTGATTGAAGGCCTGATAAACCTTGCTTATGTCTTACTAAGTTTTGGTCCAGCTTTGGGCAGAGATGTGATTGCTGAAAAGCACTGGCATTTGGGTACCAATATTTTAATAAAAATATTGAAAAAGAAGCGCAACATTGCCTCTTGTGTTATCCAAAGACTAAGCAATCACATAGTAGTGGGAAACAATGTTAGTCAATACATAGGTAATAACAACAAAAGATTTTTAATTAATGACGCTTATCTTTTAATTGTTTGTAGATTGCATTCAAATATTAAGCAGTAAAATGGCGTTAACAATGTTAGAAAATCAAAGTTGTGTTGTTGAACTTATGGAGCGTTTGGTGCAAGTTACTTATCCCACCGCAAACGCTCTTTTGGACGCCTTATTACCAATTATGAAGTTGTCACCCACCATGCGTGACCATTTAATTTTGATACTTAAAAAAGCTCTGTATTCTAGGTAAGAGAGACACTTAAAAGCTATTTAAAAATTACTTTAATTAATACATCGTTTTAGAAAAGCAGACACAAGAAGAGTCGCTGTTTCTGGGTTCTTAAAACTTTTAAAAACTTTAAAAATATCGAACTTGGCGGCCCTAAGTCAGTCCAGTTCGAGTTCTTTTTCTTCTGGACAATCTCTAATGACCCAAGTGTCCTTATCGTACACAGGCCAGGCTAAATCGAGTATTATAAGTAATGAGGCGTTATCATTAGAATTATTGGGCGTCTTAAGACGTTGTCTCATGCAGCAGGCCGAAGTCAGAGCACAATTGTACAAGGGTGTGTTTGATTGTATGTAAATAAAGGTAACAATTCAAAACTTGGTTTTTAGGTCTTTATGACGCAGTTTGCATGAATATGGAATTAATTGTACCCACCCTGGACATAATTTCGTCCCATTTCAATCATTTTTACGTAGCTGATGAGGAATCTTTACCACCTTTGGAATTTTCAAAGATTACCTTGGTAAAAGACTCCAATGTTGTATTACAGGTAAACCAATGACAAACAATCCCTTTTAGATCTGTTTTATTGATTTTTTAACCTTCAGGAACCACTAGCCGAATTAATACAGGTGTCCTGTTTAATCGTTGCAAAAATGGTCGAAAGTGAGGACGGTTGTTGTGAACCTAGTACTCTACGTTTTAAATCTCAACTTGACTCATTGTGCAGTCGTATGACTAACTGTGAGCTTATACATTTCGAATTGGTAAACTTTAAACGTATTTATGATCAAATTATTTAAATTTAATACTTTCAGGATGACGGCACTGATCTGTTAGACGTGGTACCAGAATCTCAAGAAAAAATGATCATTTTAAAGGAAGTAATGTTGGTGTATGAAGCTTTGATAGGTTTTAAAATAAACATTTGGAATGTGAATAACGAAAATGCTGGTCAACAAATCAAAAGTCTTTTTGATGCTTACAAAAGGCTTGTAGACTTCTCAAAGGTCTGTAAAATAACATTTAATGTGTGCTCTTTTTATGTGCAGTAATTTTGTTTATAGAATTTGTCGAAACCAAAGAAAGGAGACAAAAGGAAAAAAGGAGACCCAACAGAGCCATCAAAAAAGAATAATTTACAAAAACCAAAGGCTTTTAAAATGCCTGACACTCTCCTTAATTTTGAAACTTTAAAAAAACTACTCGAACTTTTGCACAGGTAATAAATATTATAAATTAAATGTGTTTTATTTTATAATAAATGTTTCAGAACCGAAGTGGACTGGGCGTCACCAGCACAGGCAAATATATTAAAACCAAAGCCTGATTTTCACCGTTTCGTGATGCAAATCAATCTTCAGGCGCTCCAAAGCCTGAAAAATTCTAAAATCGAAGAGCAGCACAAGCAAAAGTGTTTCGAAAATATTACTGATATAGCGAAAGTGTTACATGAACGATGCATTTCTCGTTTAAACGATTTTACAGATTTTGATTGCACAACTGCCGTTCTGGCTTCTGAATGTTTTCAAACTATATTCGTTATTATCACTCATCATTATGGAAATAAGTTAAAATTATTTTTAAGTAAAGTTGGTAAGTACTAATATAATTACAAAATTAGTATAATATTTTTATTTTTTTATTGTTATATAGGCGAAAGGTCAGACAGTGAAGAGTTATCATCACTATTATCGCCATTTATCGAGACTCACCAAAAGCTATTAGATGAAGAAGACGATACTGAAGAGCAAGATGTGGAAATAAAAAAAAGGAATGCAATTATTTTATCATCATTATCTTTATTAGTTTCACAACTACCTGAAGAAACTAGTGAAGTTTCAACACAGGTAGGGGAGAATTGAAAAACTGTTAATGTTTGTCCTTATTCTATTTTATTATGAGTATCTTTTTCTTATTTCTTTTTCTATTTCAGGTTTTAGACTGGTTTAAAAAATACTGCAATGAGAAACAAGCCAATAAGCAAATTGCCCACAACTTCTTCACATTATATTTCGATGTACATTTAAAATACAAAAGCAGTTTAAGTCTTTTCGAAACTGTTACTAAACGTTTAGCAGAAATAGTGGGACTAATAACGCAGGTATTCCTTAATCAAATTTTGTTTCGCTATTTATCATAAATACTGTAATATTTCCAGACAGAACAGGCTGAAGAAGTACATGGTTGGAGTGTTATTACAAATGCTACTGCTGCCATTGCAGTTCAGTGTTTGTGTGCTTCCCTTAAAACCATTCTGGACGACATAGACTGGGTTGTAGTTCGTTTGGGAGCCGAATATGCTATGATAACATACCCGGGCGAAGAGAGCACAGAGAGAAGTAGATTTTTAACCAAAATTACCCAATTTACTCCTCAATTGATCGATAATTATCTATTTTAGAAAGAGAATACTTGAAGAGCAAAGAAAGAGGAGTATGTTGCCAGCTATGTACTGTGATATCTGTTATGGACCTGTTATGTACAATTTGCGTGCCCTTGGGGCCCTTATCTGAAGGAATCCTTAAGGTTGTAACTCGCCTTTTCAATGTCCTCAATTCTCTCACGAAATATTTCGTGGTGAGGTCGTCTAAAGTAAATGTGGCTTTTGAAAGTGCAAGGTAACTAAAATACGTCACAAAAAGACGTTTTTGGACCCCTAATGATTTGAATTTGTTACAGATTTGAAAGGGTTGTACGAATATCAGGAAAGAACTTTTTCAATTCGGTTTACGAGTTTATAATATACGTGGAAGACAATCAGAAAGAAGAGGAAGCCACTCAAGCTAAGAGAAAGAGCGTGGATTCGAATATACTCAAAAATAAAGTTTTGAAGGAAACAAAACTAATTCCCAAACTGATTTATGAAATGGAACAATATGGAAAATCTATTATACAGTTGTCTAATAAGACTAAAGTAGATTTGGCGAGGTTTGTAGGAACTGGATCGGCAAGAGATTTTAGAATTAAAGGACTTAAGGAAGCACTTCTGGAGGTATATTAGTGATTATGGTTTTTGAGGGGCTTGTTTTGAATTTATTCCTGTTTTCCTGTAATAGGTTGAAGCTGATGCTAGTACTTCAATCGTTGAAGACGAAAATACAAGGGACTCCTCTAATATGGAGGTCGATGAAAACGTTGATTCCAGCAATTTAAGTAACGAAGAGTCACCACCGTCAAAAAGGTCAAAAACTTGACTAATTTATATTGTTAAACATTCCAAGATTGCAGTTTTTTCTATTAAATATTGTTAGATTTCAATAAGAACAAATACCAAGCTCTTGTAGAGTCAGACAGTGATTAAAGTGTAGATGAAAAAAATAATACACGGAATTAAAAGTGGCAATCATTTTTATTATAAACAGTTGAATACATTAAGTATTGAGAAGTTAAATTATCTTAACAAAGTGTTGCAATTATACAAACATTGGCATTTAAAGGGAACATTAAAACATGTTGCTTTCCAAAAAATGCCTCAACAATTATTCTATTAACAGGTAAAATGAATGGAATATAAAACGATATATAAGTTGTCCACAATTTACAACTAAAAAAGTATTCTCATATTGTTTACAAAATAAAGTTGATTAAAACTAAGACCTTAACCATTAAAATAAATTTTTTTAGATAAATCTTACCCTTTGCGGCTTAAAATGAAGATTGTAAGCTTTAAATTAATCAAACAAGTAATTCTTACTAGTATAAATGTATAAATGTGAAATTAAGTTTTGGATAGAATAGTTAGCAGTTTCTCTTAATGCTCATGGTTTAATTACTACATTGTTAAAGTTCTTGAGCTATGAAGATGCCCTAATTGAAGTTGCTAGCATGAGGATGGTTTCAGTCAGTCTTTTGTTGCTATCCCTAAAGTGAAGCATTCACAATCACTTGTCCACTTTTTTCAAACACTAATAAGGAAGCTCCAGTTAAGCCACAAAGTCCAAGGGCCTGTTAAATCCTCCTTTTCTGTTCATGTACTGTCTGTATTTTCGTTTAAGTATAACATGTACAGCTCCCACGTCGTTGCCATCGACTTTTTTCCCCTTGGTGGTATCAAAGTTACAAAAACCCATCATCCTCATCATTTCCTGCTCATCAGGGGTTTTGCCCTCCAAATCAGCTGGTGTTATTGCAGGTCTCTCTTCTGCTACCTTGGACTTCTTGTCTTTCTCACGACTGTAAGAAGGGGATCTTGAACGGGAAAACCTCTTGCGTCCATCTCTATCCCTTGAATGCCTCTTCCTGTCCCTTTCTCTGTCCTTAGATCTATCCCTTGACCTGTCTCTGGATCTTTTCCTTCTATGATGACGTTCTCTGTCTCTGTCACGTTCCCGTTCTCTGTCTCGTCTTCGGGGAGATCTGGATCTACTTCTACTAATTCGACCCATTCACGCAAACCTTAAAGTACAATTAGGGCAAATAAATTCCCGAGTTTAATTCGGAAAAATATTAAAAAAACTTACTTTTAATGCAACACTTACGTCGTCCATTAAAAATTGCACTTTTTTGACATCTGACAGTAAAACACAAAAACGTCGATTTCGTTGTTCTTTTTTTCGGCACAGAAGCGCTAGTGTTCCACATTATCCGCAATTGAAAAAAGTGTTTAATGGCGTTTTTCTTAAGGTTCAATTTCGTGTAAAACTCGCGGTGTAAACGAGTGCGCGCGCCGCTGCCAATGTCGGACTTAGGGCACCGGAGTATAGAGGAAAGCAGGAGGAAAGTGATGGTTGAACGTGTAACGCGTCTTGAATTTGAATGAACGAACGCGATATAGCGGTTAACGAAACATTTTTGAGACTTTTGTGCGGTCTACGGAGAATATCGGGTGCTTTTGTGATAACGAACTGCTGATAATAATATTTTCGTTCGGCCAAAAATCGATGGGGCGTATGCTTCTAGTTTTTTAAAGGACTTGTTTAACGGTGCCCATAGTTCAGTGACGGTGGTGAATAGTGATTCATATTAGCCGACAGAAAGGAGAATTAGTAAAAATTAAGGTATTTTTCATTTTTTCTATCTTTGTTTTAGTTTCCAACTTGAAATATTCCCCCACTTTCTGTCATACCGTCTCCTTTAACCAAGGGGTGTGTCATCTGTTCCTCTTTGTTTTTATATTCATTTAAAATCCTGACCTATTTTCTCATCCTCTTACTGTTATATTTACGATAAATAATACAGACACAGTTCTCAGACGATTAAATTGTTTTTTAATGGCCTTTGTTACGTAAAAAATTGCAGATGTACCAAGGGAAGTGGCAAATTAAAACTGCTAATGATTCAAAATTATTTCATCAATAAGAACATTCTACATATATGTAGTAGTGCTTTTTGTGTGATAAGATCCTACGATAAGGCTCTTATAATTCCTTTTTTAAAACCGAATAAAAATTCCCAACCTAGTCTTTTGTGGTTTTGTGACAGATTGACAGTGGCGTAACATAAACATTAATCGATTAATTAAATGATAATTTAATTATTTTGAATTGGTATATTAAAGAAGCAAGGAGTATTTTCTGTGCAGTTAAAGTAATCCTTGTTTCAGTCGATTGTTTCCAAAAGAGCAGGTTGATGCCTTCATCATTTTTAATAGAAATTTATTGTTTTATAATTATTAGCTCGAGGACGAAATTATTAATTAGGATTGTCTTGTAATAACAATGAATCACAGCTTGTTCCTTGAGGTCATTGTCCTGATAAATGAGTATCCCACGCTGATAATGGATTACACAATATTTGAGACTCAGCAGCAGGTGGTTTTTAACAGACTGCTCCAGTAATAAAAATGCTTATTTTCCTTTTTTCTTGGAAACATAATTTTTGTTTTTTGTTAATTATTTAGAAGATTATTAATTAGTCATTGAACTATTAAATTACAACTTTATTAAAAGTTTCATTAGCAAAATAATTTCTCAAAGATAATTTGGGCAATTAGCAATTATTGTTTACATGCTTTAATAAAGACAACTTAAAAACAAATTATCCTGAATAGTCATAAATAGAAGTACCTATCTATACAAAATTCAAATGTTACATAACTTGTGAGTTTATACACCTATGATGTAATCTGTTGCTCACCTCTATCATTAGCCCATTTCTCACAGTTTTAGGTTGTTAATTTATTATACAATTTTAAATGACTTTATAAAGATACCTACTATTCTAATATATTTGTTATTTTAAATGACTTTGATATTTCAAAAAGTTCCAAAAGTAATTGAAACATTGTCTGATATCATATTTTTATTGGATGTTACTTCTGAAGAAAACGAGGTGTTGATAATACTAACTGCACTTACGAAAACAATGCAGTTCATTCTTCTGAATGACATACCTACATAATTAATTTAAAAGAGTAGATATTTCCGTAAACAGAGTTAAAGAAAATAGGAACATATACATGTAAATAGATGTAAAGCTTATGCATAATTAATAAGGAGTTCTCTATTACTTATGGATAAAATAAACATTATAAACCTTGATATATATGCTCGTCTCTTTACGAAAAAAAGGCAGGTTTGTGCTGTTAACTGAAACTCCCACTATGTTGAACAGAACAGGTTTCTTATACCTACTGTTGGGAATATCTCGTTCCCTCATCCTATAGGTCTCTTCGTCCATGTAGGTTTGATTTATAGGTACTTATAATAATTATATCTGTCGTTCGTTGGACAATATTTTAAATTTACATAAATAAAATACATGGGAAATTACAAGGTCTGTTCGTAGAAGTAAAAGACAACACGAAGGAAATGAGAGTTGTTTTGGGCATGACGATCGAGCTATGAGTATCTCTTGTTTAAAAAATGCACTAGACGAAATGCTAGTCTGATATTAAGCTAATATTATACCAAGTGTATCTCGAAATAGAAATGGCGTAAGGGTGAAAATTTGTCGCTAAAAGATGGTATTTTTACCCATCTTGTCGCTAATGTACCCCCAGATGTCTAGCGAGAAACGACTGCAGAGCTTCTAAGGTGGTATTACACATAACAAACCTCAGAATAGAAATGGCGTTAAAAAATACTTTTAAGGGCTGTAATTTGTCGCTGAATGATGGTACTTTTACCCATTTTGTCCCTAGTATATCCTCTAGCTGTCCAGCGAAAAACTATCGGAGAACCGCCAAGCTGCCACTACATACAGCGTACTTCGGAGTAGAAATGGCATTGACAAATACTGTAGGTACTATAATTTGTCGCTGAAAGATAGTACCTGCCTCCTTTATCCATTTTGTCTCTAGTGTATCCTCTAGCTGTTCAGCATAAAACAGCTAGAGAGCCTCCAAGGTGATACTAGACTTAGGGTACTTCGGAGTAGAAATGGCATTGACAAATACTGTAGGTACTATAATTTGTCGCTGAAAGATAGTAGCTGCCTCCTTTATCCATTTTGTCTATAGTGTATCCTCTAGCTGTCCAGTATAAAACAGCTAGAGAGCCTCCAAGGTGACACTAGACTTAGGGTACTTCGGAGTAGAAATGGCGTTGACAAATACTGTAAGAGCGATAATTTGTCGCTGAAAGATAGTACCTGCCTACTTTTACGAAAAAGCGAAAAAGTACTCGGGAGTCGCCAAGGTGGTACTGCACATAGCGTACCTCGCAGTAGAAATTGGCAATGACAAATACTCTAAGGGCGATAATTTGTCGCTGATAGATGGTCACTACTTTTACCCATTCTGTCGCGAGTCCAGCCAAGTTGGCTCTGTAAATTGTACGTATCTCATTAAAAATATCGTAGAAAAATACTGATAACAAAATTGGTATGTCTATTACATCGACAAATTATAGTCCCATATTTTTCTATTCTGAGATACGCTATGTAAGTGCCCACTTGGCTGCTTTTCAGTCGTTTTTCGCTGGACAACAGAAAGATAGACTAGTGACAAAATGGCTAATAGTACCCTATTTCAGTAACAAATTATAGTCATTGCAGTATTTCGCTAAGTCATTTCTACTTCGTCCAGCAATCAGTTGGAGCGACAAATCTTAGGGTTTGGCAATTTAGCGACAAATACGTATGGGGTAGACCTCGTATTAAAACAGATACTCGTCAGTAGATTACATATTAAAGTAGTACTCTGATGTTTTATGTTCGAGGACTAATTGTTTGTCTTCTTTTTATACAGGCCCCGTATACTCTTGGGCTTACCTAGCAACAAAATTGTAGATATAGTGTCGCAACCGTTATATGTTCTGCATAAATCGGGTTAAGTCTGATCGTGAGTCATCTAAACCCACTTCTCTTTCTACAGTTTAAGTAATCTTCAAAAATATCCAAGTTTTTGTATCTACCAGCAACTTCTCAAACTTCTACCCAAAAGCCAAAATGGTCAAACACTTTTGGCTTACGAATTGAAGCATATTAGGGCAATTGAAATAATTTCTATACTATCTACATTTATAAATATGTTTGCAACGATTGTAGATTGTATTAGAAAAGGTGGATCACTGATCGTCTTTTATTGATTTTGTTATTTATCATTATTTAAATAAAATGTTTTTGCTTACTTTTGAGGCGTGGCGCTCAATAGTAATCGAAATCATAAACGAACATATCGTTATCTTCATTTTGCTGATAATTGTATTGAATATTAGTTTATTTGTTGTTTTTGTCCGATGTTTATTAGTAAGTATCTTAATAATTTAGGCGAATTAATTTGGGGCGTTTTTAAATGTGGTAGTAAACAGCATTGCAAAATGTTATAACATGCATAATTCAGAAAGAACTAGAATAAAATATCTTTTTATCGTTAGTGCACTTTTTATATTGTTAGATGACTGTTTTAATAGTGCACAGTCTATATTTGCTATTTCGCTGATGTAATAACAGATTGCCTTGGAAGTTAAATTTATCTATTAACAAATAAAATAAATTAACTAACATGTATCTTGATAGTATGTGCGTATGTAATTCTTTTATCATAAATGTTCATTGATCACATTAGTTCGATTTCTGAACCGAAATCAATATGTTTCAAAAGGAAACCTGTGTTGCAAAATCATTTCGATGTTGTGTCACGGTTAAGACCCAAATTTTCTTTGGTAAATCTAGCACTTCGGCGCCAGTAATTTGTTTTTAACAAAACAACTCTGTTTTTGTACGGTTTCCATTTCTTATTACGGTTATATGGTGTTCTGAGTAACATTTTGAAATGTAAAATATCACGTAGTGTTTAAAAGCCTCCGATTTCGAAGGTGAAAGTTGCTAACATCCGAGATCACTCCTATATTGCAGTAGAGGCGTAAAAGCAAAAAAAAATTAATAGCGAACTTATTGCAAACACAGACGAGTTTGCTTTTGATTGCGCAACAGTTTCTTCTATATTACGGAATAACATGAATTGGGTGGGTGGTAAGATAATAACAAATGCTTGAGTTATTAGAAACCCAGATTAGGACTTGCCAGAAATATTTAAATATGTTAAAATGATTCCTTAACTCACATACCAATAAAATATTAAAAAGGGGGACAAATGTCCGAAGAAATCTTATGTTTGTAAATTAAGATCATCTGCTTATTAGTATTAGCGTTAAATTTCTTAAATTGTGGTGAAAACTGTATCTAAATCGGATAAGAAATAGCCTAGTTACCCCTTTTAGAGTTTCCGCCATTGAATTCTTTTTAGTGGCGCTTAGTATTGTTTACATCCGCATTCTTTAACGAGAAACCCAAGTAGCACAGGTGCAACGTCGTTTTTAACTGAATGACAATATGGCCGTCGATGTATTACCCAATCAGATGCACCGAGCCGGTTTATAACAGGTAAACGTGCATTTTTGAGTTAGTCATCGTCGATGCACCGGAGGGTGCACTTCGTTGCATAACATTTTAGGTTGTAACAAGGTGAAAACTTGTAGTTATTATTTTCTTCAATAAAATTACCCACTTATTGAGTAATAATTCTTTTAACAGTTACTAAAACAACTAAGTTCTTTTAATAATTATACTACTTATTGTAGAATAGGTATGCATGGAAAAGACAAAAATGAATTTA